TTATTCCTACATTGATTGATATTGTGTGATTTGTTGGTGTTTTAAACTTGGTCATTGATGAGGTTTTAATTGAATTACTTGATTTCATGGTGGTGAGTTGTATCAGGTAAATTGGTTTTTATTTATATTTCATGGTTACTATTATTGTACATACTTCTTTGGAAATGTCAGGAGCCATTTCAACGAAGAGGGGGAGTATGTAACCAGGGCTATGTATTATTTAATGCCTTTAATTACTATACTTGCGCTGCGTATATGTGAAAATGTGGTGTGTAAGACTTTGTGTGAATGAGGTTGTTGCTATTTTTAGACACTAAACGGACAGTCACATGACTTTATCCTATTCACCAAATTCCCGCTTTCACGCACTAACATCGGACACTCTGAGCCTAGCCGTTGAATTGGTTAGATGTGTACTCTACTCTATAGTCAATAACAGATAGTAATATTTGTAATTCCTGTGTGTGTCCCGGTAAGAATCTATTCTAAAGTAAAGTCTATTATGTTTAAATTATCTGTCTACATGTCTGTCTATGTGTCGTCTATCTGTTGTGTGTAATTGTAATATTTCAGGTTTTTGACGTCTTATTTCAACATTAATAAATGTAATATTGAACCTGAACCAGATTGTTATTTCTGATGTTCTACCACTGGCTACATGAATATATTATGTATCTCGTAATTTATAAAGGGAAAAAAATATTCTGAAAAACTTTTAATTCTGAATAACTACTCCCACCCCAATCCCCATATACCAACAGTTAAGCTTATATGTCTAGAGCAGCCTGGTCTTCTGGGCTGCAATGACTCTTAATCTAAAATAAGTGTGAAGTAAGTTCTGTAATTGTAATTATCAATGGAGTTTGTTTGAATTCTTTTTTATTTATGGCAGTAAGTTTGTTTACTGAATTATTTCATATTTAATTTATTTACAGTTTAAAAGATAACAAATTACCAATTATTACAATTAGAACATTTGCCTCTCTTGTAGGAACCATTATGCCACGAAGGTGTGAAGTTCAACTAGTTATTCGAATAAATTTAGTACGATCTGATAAGTTGCATACATCTGGTTTAAGGCAACTCGTACGTAATCTAATTCGTGAAACTTTCTTGGTGAAATGGACTTCTACTTTGTACCATCGATCTCTCTTCTTAACTAGGCTTCGAAATTCTTTAGTTAAGGTCAGACGACACGTTCCTAAATAATATATAATTTTTCCTAAGAATTTGTCATTGAAGTAAAGGTACTTAAACAAGTTTCCTCACAAAAAATTAGGGTACCTTATGTAATGATATTGACTATTGATGGTGGATTGAAATGCCTTTAAAATAGACCAATAAGATCATTTTATATTTGACCAATCAGCGCTTGATATTTTAACCAATCACAGTTTCAGAATCACCAACCAATCATTAGGAATTAAAGGAGAATAAATACAGACACCCATGAAGTATTTGGTTACTTGGTCGTTACTCATCGTGCGAGTAACACCTCTCGGGCTAGGTTCTTGGGCTGTGTCGGGAAACAACAGAATTGTTAGTTAAACCACTCAGCTCAGGAACCTAGTTCCTTAATAGTGTCTCAGTGACTTAGTTTATATAGTGTCTTGGTGACTTAATTATTATAGTGTCTTAGTGACTTTTACATAAAGGTGTCTCGGTGACTTTTAGGGTGCTTTAGGTCACCTGAGTAAACTCAGGTGACCTATTGCTATCTGTTTTCGTCCTGCGTCGTGCGTCGTCCGTCGTCCGTTAACATTTGAACATTTTCATCTTCTTCTCTGCAACCACTGAACCAATTTCAACCAAATTTGACACAAAGCATCTATGGGTGAAGGGGAACAAAAATTGTGAATTTCATGGTCTCTGCCCCCCTGGGGCCTGGGGGGTGGGGCAAAAACCACTAAAATTAATGCAATCTTTAAAAATCTTCTTCTTTACTCCTGGACATCAAGCAGTTAAACTGCTTGCATGATTGTAATCAGCATTGAGTCCTCTACCAAAATTGTGAAATTTATGGCCCCAGGGTCAGGGGTTCTAGTGCTAGGGTGGGGCTAAATAAGTATATAGTGAAAATGCAATATTTCTTTGAAAATCTTCTTCTCTGCTCCTGGGTATTAAATAAACTAACTAAGTGCATAGTTATGATGTGCAAGAGTGCCTCTACCAAAATTGTGAAATTTATGGCCCCAGGGTCAGGGGTTCTAGTGCTAGGGTGGGGCTACATAAGTATATAGTGAAAATGCATTATTTCTTTGAAAATCTTCTTCTCTGCTCCTGGGTATTAAATAAACTAACTAAGTGCATAGTTATGATGAGCAAGAGTGCCTCTACCAAAATTTTGAATTTTATGGCCACAGGGTCAGGGGTTCTGGTGTTTGGGCGGGGCTCTATAGATTATATAGTGAAAATAAATGAATTCTTTGAAAATCTTCTTCTCTGCTCCTGAGTATTAAATAAACTAACTAAGTGCATAGTTATGATGAGCAAGAGTGCCTCTACCAAAATTGTGAAATTTATGACCCCGGGGTCAGGGATTCTGGTGCTAGGGTGGGGCTAAATAAGTATATAGTGAAAATGCATTATTTCTTTGAAAATCTTCTTCTCTGCTCCTGGGTATTAAATAAACTAACTAAGTGCATAGTTATGATGAGCAAGAGTGCCTTTACCAAAATTGTGAATTTTATGGCCCCAGGGTAAGGGGTTCTAGTGTTAGTGCGTGGCTATATAGATTATATAGTGAAAATAAATTAATTCTGCGACAATCTTCTCTGCTCCTGAGTATTAAACAAATTAACTAAGAGCATTGTTATGATGTGCAAGAGTGCCTCTACCAAAATTGTGAAATTTATGGCCCCAAGGTCAGGGGTTCTAGTGTTAGGGTGGGGCTCTATTGATTACATAATGGAAATACATGAATTCTTTGAAAAAATTTCTTTTCTGCTTCTAGGAATTAAATAAACTAAGAACATAGTTATGATGAGCAAGAATACCTCTTCCAAAGTTTTGATATTATGGGCCTAGGGTCAGGGGTTCTAGTGATAGGGTGGGACTCTGTTGATTATATAGTGAAAATACATTAAATCTTTGAAAATTTTCTTCTCTGCTCTTGGGTATTAAGCAGATGAACTACCTATGTAGTTATGATGAGCAAGGACCCTAATCTTCCAGAATTGTGAATTTCAAGGCCCCAGGGTCAGGGGTACCATAGGGGGGGATGTACTTAAATACTGAAACTGGATGAATTGTTTGAGATCTGCTCCTTGGTATTAATCAAATATTTTTGAAAAGCAAGGGTGCCTTTTCAAAAATTGTGCAATGTGTGGATCTAGGCCTAAGGGTCAGGGGTTCATATGTGATAGGGGCATTACTGATTATTGCTGAATATTACTGATTACTTGAAATGCATTTTTTGTTCCCCCACCCTGCCTATGGGTATTAAGTAAACAAACTAAGCAACTGCTAAGTATATTGTTATGATGATCAAATGGTGCCTCTTTCAAAATTGTGAATGCCATAGCATCTTGCTTAAAACATGAATCAAATTAAATCACTGGAAAGTTGTTGCATAATGCTCAGGTGACCTATAAGGCCCATGGGCCTCTTGTTTAGGTAGTTGCAGACTGTGTCGGGAAACAACAGGATTGTTGGTTAAACCACTCAGTCTGCAACTACAGTGTCATAACTTTATAGCTGATTATTGGTTTAATTGTGGTTGATTCTTTTCTTATAATTCGTTGTCGTTAAGTTCATATTTGTTTGCTAATCATTATCCAGGTAGGACCGAGGAAAAATATATTATAACACGAGTTTGTCTATTTTTGCCAATCCAGATTTTATATTTGTCATTGTCATTGTTTCGTCTGCAGAAGTTCCTCAAATCAGGAAAAGCGTTAATAGCAAGATCAGTTGGATATGTAAAAGATGGAGAAATACCAGTCCGAATGATGAATCCATCCAATGAACATCAAACAGTGTATCCAGGAACATTTATTGCAAATATGAGTTCAGTTGACAATGTTTTTGAACCAACCTCTACTGTAAACAAGCCATGCAAAGATCTGCCATCTCATCTGCAGGATCTGTTTGAGATATATAAAGTTCATCTAAATGGTGGTGAAATACCTCAGTTATAGACGTTTTTGGCTAAGTATGCAGATATATTTGCGAGGTCAGACAGAGACTTGGGACGTACTTCACTGGTTAAACACACTATTGATACCAAGGATGCACGCCCACTGAAAGAACCTCCCAGAAGAATTCCACATCATTTACAGGATGAGATGAACAAGCAATTAGATGACATGCTTGACAGGAAAATCATAGAGAAATCGAATAGTCCATGGGCATCGGGAGTCGTTTTAGCTAAAAAGAAAGATGGTTCTTTGCTATTTTGTGTGGATTACAGGCGTTTAAATGCAGCTACAGTCAAAGACGCCTACCCACTTCCACGCATCGACGACTCGTTAGACAGTCTTGCCGGAGCAAAGTGGTTCTCAACCCTTGACTTATGCTCCGGGTATTGGCAAGTTAGCATGGGTGACTCAGATAAACTATTTGGTGAGTGATTTATACATGCATTGTATTAAGAAGAGTTCAAAGTTTAATATTTCCACTGCAACAAGGTGCGACTTTTTGCACATGCTGAAAAAATAAACCATTTGAGAAAAAATTGTGATAAAATAGCTTAATTAAGCTTTTCCGAATAGCTTAATAAAGCTATATAATAGCTAAATCAAGCTATATAATAGCTAAATCAAGCTATAAAGCTTAATCAAGACTCTGTGCTGGACCTGTCCGAATACATCAAACAAATCAATTTTTGTATTGTGGGCCTGAACATCCAAACCGTGTTTTGAGATGATGGATTTGAATAAGTTTGACTTATTTTTGTGTTGTTTTTGAAGTGGCATGGTAAGTTTTCTTGACCACCTCTAAGTACATTCAAAGAAAAATGAAACATGACATAATTAACACAAACACATAATAATTTTTTTAGCACGTGTAGTGCGCTGGTACCATTTAGGCGTCAGAACTTTCATCTATGAAGACCCACTTGCTAATGGCCACCATGCACAGAAAAGACCATGATGTGGAGGACATATGTGCTTAGTTATTAGTAAGTCAATTTTATTGCAGTCAAAATTCCTCATTGCCACTGGACGGCTATTAATCAACATTCCCAGGCACATAAGTAGCCGGACTGGCGATCTTGTCATAGGGATTTTTCCCTTAAGTAACAGTTTTCAGTCCAACATGCCCTTTCTCTTAACAACCCTGACAACAGAAACTATAAAAGGATACGGGGTTCTGGTGTTAGGGTGGGGCTAAATAAGTATATAGTGAAATTTCATGATTTCTTTGAAAATCTCCTTCTCTGCTCCTGGGTATTAAATAAGCTAAGTTCATTGTTATGGTGAGCAAGAGTTCCTCTAACAAAATTTTGAATTTTATGGCCCCATGGTCAGGGGTTCTGATGTTAGGGCAGGGCTCTTTAAATTATTTAGTGAAAATACATTAATTCTTTGAAAATCTTCTTCTCTGCTCCTGGGTATTAAACAAACTAAGTGCAAAATTATGATGAGCAAGAGTGCCTCTACTAAAATTGGGAATTTTATGGCCCAAGGGTCAGGGGTTCTGGTGTTAGGGTGGGGCTCTATAGATTATACAGTGAAATTTCATGAATTCTTTGTAAATCTTCTTCTCTGGTCCTGGATATTAAATAAACTAACTAAGTGCATACTTATGATGAGCAAGAGTGCCTCTACCAAAATTGTGAATTTTATGGCTCAGGGTCAGGGGTTATGGTGTAAGATAGGGGGGGGGGTCTATAGATTACATACTGAAAATACTTGAATTCTTTGAAAATCTTGTTCTTTGCTCCTCGGTAATAAATAAACTAACTAAGTGCATATTTATGATTTCTCATCATAAATATGCACTTAGTTAGTCTCTACCAAAATTGTGAATTTTATGGCCCCAGGGTCAGGGGTTCTGGTGTAAGGGGGAGGGGGGCTCTATAGATTATATAGTGAATTCTTTGAAAATCTTCTTCTCTGCTCCTGGGTATTAAATAAACTAAATAAGTACATTGTTATAATGAGCAAGAGTGCCTCTACCAAAATTGTGAATTATATGGCCCCAGGGTCAGGTGTTCTGGTGTAGGGAGGAGGGCTCTTTAGATTATATAGTGAAAATACATGAATTCTTTGAAAATCATCTTCTGCATTTTGTGGATCTAGGCCTAAGGGTTAGCCCTAACAAAAAAAAACTATAGTTAACTATAGTTAACTATAGTTTACTATAGTTAACTATAGTAAATCAAAGTGTCAAAGTTTTCGTCAAAGTTTTTCAAAGTATCAAAGTTTTCGCCAAAGTTTTTCAAAGTGTCAAAGTTTTCCTCAAAGTTTTTCAAAGTATCAAAGTTTTCGTCAAAGTTTTTCAAAGTGTCAAAGTTTTTGTCAAAGTTTTTCAAAGTGTCAAAGTTTTAGTCAAAGTTTTTCAAAGTGTCAAAGTTTTTGTCAAAGTTTTTCAAAGTGTCAAAGTTTTCGCCAAAGTTTTTCAAAGTGTCAAAGTTTTCGCCAAAGTTTTTCAAAGTGTCAAAGTTTTCACCAAAGTTTTTTTCAAAGTGTCAAAGTTTTTGCAAAAGTTTTTCAAAGTATCAAAGTCTTCGCCAAAGTTTTTCAAAGTGTCAAAGTTTTCACCAAAGTTTTTCAAAGTGTCAAAGTTTTTATCAAAGTTTTCAAAGTTTTTCAAAGTGTCAAAGTTTTTATCAAAGTTTTTCAAAGTTTTTCAAAGTTTTTCAAAGTGTCAAAGTTTTCGCAAAAGTTTTTCAAAGTATCAAAGTTTTTCAAAGTTATCACTATAGTAAATCAAAGTTTTTACTAACAGAATTATTTTTTTATATGTTTAACTACAACAAATCACTGTTTTCAAATAACTTTCAATTAAAAGTACTGAACTATATAAATATACCAAAGAACAAGTGTTTTTCATACTTTAAAACTAAATTATTTAAATATTTATTTCAAAAATAAAAGAAAACTGATCTTCATTTCCAAATTTATTTTGTGACAATATTCATAATGTATGACAAAATAAAAAAAAAATGTTTCATCCATCATCCAACAGCTTATTGACAATCCAGTAATGATTTTGTCACAATAAATGCCCAATAAGAAGTTAGGTAGCATAACAAAGAATAAATTAAAAACATGACAAGCAGTGTAATTATAACATAAAAAAATAATGAAGACATTTGTGAAACTTTCACCATGATCATAATCATGAACAAAAAGATATATGAATTTAAACATTTTTGAAGAAAGCACAATATACAGTTTTCATTGATGTATACATTTTCATTGAACTTCCATGATTACTTTTGCCAAACAATTGAAGCAATAACTACTGACATATATTTACAAATATTACAAATTTGTTGAACTTTCACAGTCAGGCTATATTTTGATAATCAAATGTTACACCAACACTTGCGAGGCAAGCAACAAAATACTTAGATCTTTGCATTGAATTACTATTGTCAAAAATTCTAGTAATTCTGACACATTTAAAAACTCTATATTGTGTTTCCACTAACAAGTTAATCCCATTCGTAATGGTTAGGCAAACAAATAACAAACCTATCATTGCCTTTAATCAGATACAAACACTTTGACTGAAAATTATCAGCATTTACAATAACTCTAGATTGAGTTTCTTTTACTTTGGTAAGAAAAAAAGATGAAGTACCAGTTTCTTCATCTGACATCAACACATTTTCTATCTTTTCAAGCTGTTTACCAACAATATAAGGTATTTTACACCCACAATTGACACAAGAATGCTGGCAGTTTTGATCAAACATCATTAATTTTTCAACAACCAAAAAAACATTTCTTTTTGTTTTAATCACATAATTGATGGATTTCCCACTACATTTTGTGTAACTTTCAGAATATATCAAATTGCCTTTCACAAGAAATCTATCGAAAAATACTGCACATGGATTGTCTAACTCAACATTCAAAAAATTCTCAATTGCTACATGCTCAAAGATTTTCAAACATCTAAATACCATTTTCCCTATCCCAAAAAGTTCATTGCTTAACATGACATATGATTTGTGAAACCTTTTCCCTTGCAATTTATAACATAATTTTTTCACATCATCAGGGGCATTTGCCAGGTACAGTAAAGAAAGTTTCTTAGCCTCTTGAAACATAATTAAAGACTTGCAGATTTGGTCTGAAACATACTGAGTTCCATTAAACATTTTCAACAAATTACCACCGTTGCCCTCAAAAGGGAATGTAGAAATGCCCCAAATGGGTCCCCAATTTCGTACACTTTGAGCCACATGTAAAAGTTGGTGTACATTAAAACTCATGTGCTCTACACCATATAAAGTCTGTACTTGAAAAACAAATTTTCTGAGTGCCCTCTCTGCCAAATCTATTTCTCGTAAGGTCACAGATGATTGTAACAAAGTGTAAATACCAAAAACTAAAAGAAAAAAGTGATTCACATATTGTTGGGGTAGAACTCCTGGTAGAACAATCATGGAATAGAATAACAGGAAGGCTCTCCATTCTGAAGCTTTCCAGAATCGACGGGTGGAAAGGGTACGGGGACGTCGTGTAATCTCAAAGGGTGGCTTTAGCTTCAACAGTTTTTGATCAAGAATTCTGCTTTGCAGTCCGATGTAGAATGGTTTCCCATGGTTGGACGAATCTAGCCAAAGGCTCATAAACTGTTTTACAACACCTTGGCATACACTGTGCAGGTAATCTGGCACAAATCCTATTACCATGTTGAATACAGTCAGAAGGCACAGTGGACTCAGTCCTTTGACACCATTCACCACACGTGTTGAGGTGCATGCCTCAAGTCCATCTTGAACGAAAGAATCATGTGTCCTCTCTCTGTACTCTCCTGGGGGGTAGGCACGCACGTGTCCGTCACCTTTGTGGACCACCTCGCCTGGATGGAGACACCAGTCGCATCCGTACTGTCCATTGAACTGTTTCACATTTCTCATGGGTGGTCTGGCAATTGAGTCACTGCTGCAAAGAATGGTGTGGACCTTGGTGCAGAGCTGCCTTCCATTCGTGTCAATCCAGGTTATTCCCTCCTCACTTAATTGAGCACATGTGTTAACAAATGGCTGTAAATAAGTGTCCATCCTTGGCTTTCCATTGCCAAACCAAAGTGCAGCCAGCATGATATTGTCCTTCCTATCTGATGGTACACATTCGTTGATGATCAGCTGTATTGGCCAGATGGAGTAGCCAGAAGATTTAAAAACAGGGATTCCATCACAGTTCCATTGTAATGTTAGATCATCCTGTCCAATTGTTCCATCCTGCACCAATCTCCGATAGGCCTCTCCATCTCTAATGTTTGACAATATGCCCTCTGGACTTCTGTTGATCTCTGGTAGGCCATGTACTTTTAAGAAATGTTCAAGCTGTGTTCGCAATGGCATCATCATGAAGAAGTTGGCACTCTTTTCACAATTGCGTTGGTTACGAAATCCACAGTAAACACAATCTTGGACGAATTCTTTCCCGATGTATCCTTCACACTGCACACAGAAGTAATGTTTTTCAATGTTTTCCATGTGGTCCGAAACGTTGAAAAATTTCTCTATAAAGTAGGTGGATTTTGGAAACAGGTTTGGCAGGTGGAGATCCAACAGCTCCAACAAATCGGCAGTGGCAACTTTGGTAAGGTGGTGCTTAAGGGTAAATAGGATCAGCATGAGTAAGCTTTGGGCCCTTGTTACTGTGGAGTCTTTGTGGACCAGATCATCCCAATAGCCTTCATTCTGAAATGGAACAAGTAAACTTAGTTCATTCAATTCAATTGACTTTGTGCAAAACATTAATGATACAGGGTTCTTGATCATTCCACAATTTACTGTGTTGCAAACACAGCAGGAAACACAATATTCGCAGTATTTTTATGATCAAATTTACAGCTGCACCCCAAATGAAAGCATATATTTTGCACATATTTAAATTATAAAACACATTATATATATATATATAAATATTTGAAAAGCAGGGGAAAATCTGGCCGATGAGATGATAACATTGCAACTTTCTAAATGCAAAATTGCTAGACTAAGTGTATTATCAAGTTAAAAGGAAAGTAACTTCAGAATAGTACATGATCAGAGCAAAATACATTTAGAGAAGTAAATTTACAATTTACAATACTTAACTCTAGTGGTAATTAAGGAATTCACGTTCAATGTGTTTGAGACATTGAATGGAATATATGCAAGACCAATAAAACCTCTTAAACAAGAGATCTTTGTAAAACACATATGCACCCCAGTGGAATTTTTCCAAGTCCAAGGGGCATAACTCTGCCAAAAATGGTGTAATAGTACCCAAAACAAAAGCTGACCTAGATATTCATCTGAGGAATTTGTATACTAAATTTCATTTCAGTATGTACATGTACAAACTCTGCAAAGTAAATAAACATAAACTGCAAATAACTGAAATTTGTCGAAGTCCAAGGGGCATATTATCTGTGTCAAAAATGAGGCAATTGTACCCAAAACAATACTTGATCTAGATATTTCTCTGATATATCAATATACCAAATTTTATTTCAGTATGTGCAACAGTTGTGAAGAAAATGAATGAAAACTTAAGTGGACCGACATACAGCAGCAGAGCACTATGCCCTCCCTTCTTCAAGGGGGAGGGGACAAAAAAAGATTTAAACCTATTATCTATATGGTTATTATTACTGCCCATGCCTGAAGTTTGATAATAAATATGCATGTCAAAGACAAAGGGTGATCATTCATTGTGTTTCACGCGACCTTGTAGGGTAGGGCAACACCATTTTTAAACAGGCTGATCATGATTTCAAAAACATTCTTCACTGGTGATAGACATTATAAGAGAAAAATTGTTGGATAAGAACAAGTAATAAAATAATTCCTAGATTCCTAGAGACTGCAAAAGATTAAAGTAGGGACATAAGTTAATAGTATTAAAAAGGTGGATGTCACTATAGGGGTCTTTTTGTTGAAAGCAAAAATAACACAATACACAAAACAGTAAAAAGACAATGGCTTTATAGAAAATTTTTGATAGAGCAAATTTTTTTTGAATTAGCCTAGTTCTGTTTTTATTTATTTATTTTTTTTTTAAAAACTCAATTTTTTAAAATTATTTTTTGAGTAAAATTGATGAGTTGTTCTAAATGTATTTAATCAAATAATAATTGAATTTGACAATGTATTTTTCATTTAAATACATGTTAACATTTAAATACTTGTATAATTAACTTAACCGAGACACGTCGCGTGCCGTCGATTCAGCGAAATTCCCCCCATGCATCAAAAATTTTCTGGGGAAAACACTGTTCGATGTTTAAACATTCATCACTAGTTCTTGCTCTCTGCACTTGGATTAGGTAATATATTTAAATATGACAATTTTATTTTATTTGTTAGCGAGTTTGGCAACAATTATTTTGTATTGAATGAGCTCTTAACAACCGACAATAGATTGTCAGTGACAATTGGCCCATCAATATCAATTAAAGACATGATTTAAACCCAACAACACCAAAAAAAAATATAGTTTGTTTGGAATTGCCTCCCACCTCATTGAAATGCCCCCTCCTGAAAAAATTTTATTGACCAAAAGTAGGAATATTTTTTATTTAATCAATATTTTTGCCGATAACATGTATCACATACACCATACAAAACAATGAAATATAGTGTCAGATCTATGAAAAACAAGAAATCTGTGAGCCAATGCTCACTAGGAATACCCCCGCTCTGATATGAATAAACACTATCATGATAATATACACAAGTTCCATTACGGACAGATGCACAGACAAACAGGAAGTTGACTTCAGATTCATATAAAAATTAATCCCACCATATGACATGCCTCAACAAAGAGCGTACTAAAATTTCAAGCATCTGTTGATGAGAAAACTGCGACAAAAAATTTGTTATGTATGAAACGGAGAGATGCAAAAACAAACATGAAGTTGACATCTGATTTGACCAAAAATGTATCCCACCTTATGGCATGCCTAAGAGAAGATTGTGTTAAAATTTCAAGCATATGCGATGAGTAGTTTCTGAGAAAACTGCGTTGAAAATTTGTTATGTATGAAATGGACAGATGCACAGACAAACAGGAAGTTGACAATGGATTTGAATAAAAATGTATCCCACCATATAATATGCCTCAGAGAAGATTGTGTTAAAATTTCAAGCATCTGTGATGAGTAGTTGCTGAGAAAACTGCGACAAAAAATTTGTTATGGCCAGACGACAGACGGACGGACACACAAGGGTAAAACAGTATACCCTTCTCTCCTTCGGAGTGGGGGTATAATCCTTCGGAGTGGGGGTATAATTAGGTTTTTTTGTAGATCATGTTGATAGTAGATACTTTTTTTAAAAGTCAGAAAATGTTTCAATTTACTGTTTACTGAGATTCTTATCATAAATTTGAAATTTATCTTCAACATGTTCAATTTAAAAAAAAATTATAATTTCCCTCCCTCCTGTGTCTGAAACCCTTCAGGCGGCAATTCTAAACAAACAATTTTTTAAGGATGGCCCAACTTGCACAATTTAACAATGAAGTATAACAAACCTTGTTCTCGTCTTCTGCCATAAAAGTGTCCTCAGTGTTATCAACATCGAAGTAAATTGCATCTTCTTCCATGGCTTCCTCGTCTTCAGCATCAAAGAAAAACTCCATTTCCTATTTCTATTTTCAGAGCTTCCAGAACTCCTGCAGAAGATAAGGAAAGTTAAGAGCAGTGCATCCCCACCAAGCAGCACCTCAGTTGTGCCAAGGCCAACTGCCGCCACCTCATCTGTTCTTCCAAGACTCCAAATCTTACCACAGAGGAGTCCTTTGACACCAGTGACACCTGGTTCACCGGAGGACAACAATGCAGAAGAGGTACATGTAGATCTATGTATTGAGTAAAAGAATGTTCTTAATGTTTGTATTTAAATATAAAAATGTAACAAGAAGGAAAGTATCAATCTTTTTTCATTTGATTCAGCATAAGGCATTTTCTTATAGATGAGACAATTTTTGAAAATTACACTGTACAAGTCGCAAATTATTTTCTTAAATATGAATTCAGGTATTTTACTGATGGAAGTTTGATACTTGCATGGTGTCTATATCAACCAATTTGGTTTAGTATTTCACGACTTCTTGCCTATAATCTGAACGAATAACTATTCTTATGGATGTATGAGTTTAAATGGATTTGACAAAAGTTTACAAATACCAAGCAAAGATAGTAGAGCTTAGTATCACTTCTAGAGCATCTTTGATCATCATTTTTAAAAATGGAAACATGGCAGTGCCCTACTAAATCCCTAGAATTTTTTGTTCATTTCCTGTAAATAAATAATTTTGTTATAAATTTTAACCACTGAAATTGAAAAATCAGAAAATTATTTGCTAAGATTGATGGTTCAATTTGTAAAGATTTCCTACCACAGAAAATACCTGTTAATGGTATTTTTAAAACTAACTGCAGGCAGGATTAAATATAACAAAATACAGAGACTTGTATTGCAAGATATCCATATCAAATTGTCTTAAAACAAGTTTCATGCACTTTTTAAGACTGTATTAATAAACCTTCAAAAGAAAAAAAGTGTTAACATCATTTATTGTATGATGATTAGAATAAAAAAGATTATAAATGAACCTAATGCCTATTGTAAAACTAATTAATTGAAATGTTTCTCAGGTTTTGAATTTCGGCACCGCCCAACTGGTGAAAAAAGATGTCTTTCGGCATGTTGGATCCAAGTCTTCCCATCTTGTTAACTACCTAATGGAGGAAGTTTTCACAGACGAGGAACTTGGAACATGCAGCTTGACGGGTGCCAAAGGTCGCTGCAAGGATTCAACTGACATCAAGCCAGCCCTAGATGGGGACAAGCTTGCAGACATCATAGGTAAGATATTTTTAAATTTTTTTTGAATATTTGAATTTTTTAAATCTAGGCTATCTTTATTAATTTCGTCATGCATGTTTGCATCATATTTATTGTTTGGAATTGAACAAATAATGTAAGCAAGTCATGACTTAGTAAATAAAAATTATTATTATGATATTAAAGCTAAATTATTGAGAAAAAGAAATCATAGAAAGGGGTTTTGAAAACCAGAATTTTCAGAAAGGAATTGTAAGTTACATGTAAAGACAGTGTCATTTCCTACCATTTATAACAATATTGATTTGAGTCTGATGCTCAGAATATTGTTCTTATTTTTCTTGTGTTTATTTCAGCTTTCACCAAGTCGCAGTGGAGTGTTACTGAAGACGAGATTAAGAAGATCATCAGAAACAAGCTAAACAACTGCCACAAAAAAGCCAGGGGATCGGAGAGACCTCCTTCCACCACTTAAGAAACAACAATTTTTACAGACATTGATTGCCATTCCACATTTTCACCTGATGTGTCTTGGGCGCTTTGACCTGGCGGAGACCATCCCTCTCCAGGCTGTTAGCCACAGCCGAAGACCTCCGCTACTTGGAACCATGCCTTGGCCCTGGACACTTCCATTTTAGTGATTTAAATAGTATTCTCTGTGTAGTATTTATTGTAGTTAATAGTGATAGTATTTATTTTTTAATGTTGTCATATTTATTCATAGTGCTTGCTTTTTAACTTATTTTTGAACTGTTTAACAAACTTTTGATGGCAAAGCATTATAAGTATTTTATTAGGAGGTTTATCTGTATATATGTGTATATACTGTTTTTTTCTTCAGAGTTGTGATACATACATATTGTCTTATTGTTTTGTGATATGATTGAAACAGAATGTGTTTCATTTTTAGAGCTATTATTTTTCAAATATTTATTTTTAGAAAAAGTTTATCTGTTTGCACGTTGTTTTCAAGTTTTTGCCCCATTTTTTGTTGTAAATTTTAACATTGTTTTCTTTTTCCTTCAGCCCTTAAAATACTGAAGAATGTGCCAAAATTTTATGTTTACAGCAGGATTGTCCCTAAGAATTAAAAGAGCAGGGCTCTATGATTGAAAGGGTTTAAAGGATTCTAGGCCCCCCTCGATCCCCTGGAGTTGAGGGGGATACCAAAATAACACGGGAGGGATGTGTTCATTAAACATTTTAGTTCAAATTTCTGTAGTTGTTAGAGACAACCCTGCTGTTATAAATACATTTTAAAACCTTGTCATCAGTGTCTAAATCACCAAATTCTGTTAAAGAGTGTAATGTTCATATCCAGAGGAGGGAACATTGTAAATTTTTCTGTGATAAACGTATCAAATTTTTTTTTTTACATTTTTTTAAACATTGTATATTTTTTCTTTGATAAAGATTTTACTTACCACATCTCAGGTTTCACCCCAGTATACTGACTTCATTTAGTACTTCCAAGAGAATTCCATGCATTTTGTATGCCATATATTTTATTAAATTTATTGGATGATCTAGATTTAGTTTATGATATTGAATGTTTTCATTGATTAATAAACATATGATTTTTTAAATACGAGTTTGTTTTTTTTTCTTACTTTGGATTTTAGTCTCTGGCTTTGTTATAAGAAGTTCATATCGTCCAAGTTTTCACTAGAAATCAAAGTGTCAAAGTGATATTTTATAATTATAGTAAACCGGACTTTTAAAATGTATCACTTTCGTTAATCAAAGTGTTCAATATAGTAAATCAAAGTTTTAACCATAGTGAGTCAAAGTATTTCAAAGTGTCAAAGTTTTTCAAAGTGTCAAAGTTTTTATCAAAGTTTTTCAAAAGTATCAAAGTTTTCACCAAAGTTTTTTTCAAAGTGTCAAAGTTTTTGCCAAAGTTTTTCAAAGTATCAAAGTTTTCGCCAAAGTTTTTCAAAGTGTCAAAGTTTTCGCCAAAGTTTTTCAAAGTGTCAAAGTTTTCATCAAAGTTTTTCAAAGTGTCAAAGTTTTTGTCAAAGTTTTTCAAAGTGTCAAAGTTTTGTCAAAGTTTTTCAAAGTGTCAAAGTTTTTCAAAGTTTTTCAAAGTGTTTTGTCAAAGTTTTTCAAAGTGTCAAAGTTTTCGTCAAAGTTTTTCAAAGTGTCAAAGTTTTTATCAAAGTTTTTCAAAGTGTCAAAGTTTTTATCAAAGTTTTTCAAAGTGTCAAAGTTTTCGTCAAAGTTTTTCAAAGTGTCAAAGTTTTCGTCAAAGTTTTTCAAAGTGTCAAAGTTATCACTATAGTAAATCAAAGTTTTCAAAGTGTCAAAGTTATCACTATAGTTAACTATAGTAAACTATAGTTAACTATAGTTAACTATAGTATTTTTTTGTTAGGGAGGGATTCATGTGTGATTGAGGCATTACTGATCATGCTTAATATTACTGATTACTTGAAATGCTTTTTTTGTTCCCCTACCATGCCTATGGGTATTAAGTAAACAAACTAAGCAACTGCTAAGTGTATTGTTATGATGATCAATGGTGCCTATTTCAAAATTGTGAATGCCATAGCATCTGCATTAAAACATGAATCAAATTCAATCACTGGAAAGTTGTTGCATAATGCTCAGGTGACCTATAAGGCCCATGGGCCTCTTGTTTAAAATATATCATTGATTTAACCTTGATTGTTTAGATAAAGCTTGCAATATTTCAGTCATAATACATTGACTTCCCCAAATCATTTAACTACAAGGATGACAAAAATATGACATATATAATATAATATATATGATATGCTTTATAAAGACTTTTTAACAATGTTATTTCAATTTGCCAATTGTTGATTTCTGTATAAACTGAATTATCTGATTAAAACTACATATCCCGTTAGAAAAAAGCTTTTTCAAAACTTTGTTTTAAAATTTGTTACAGAAGTCGGGACAGAAGATCATGCCTTGGTCAAATCAAAGGAGTTCCCTCAGTCTTTCAGAGAGATGGCAGAAAGTTCATTCAACATGAAGATGATGTGCACATAATGTAATCTGGAATCTAAAGTTAGAGATAAAAACCTGCAAACTTACTAGCAAATAAGCCTTTCGGCTTGTTAATTATTCTTTGCCGGACACTTCACCTTTAGGAATGCTCTTTATTTCTATCAATGATGCATGTGGTTATTCAAGATCATGTCATGTGATATAAGGAATTTTGACTTTTGACAGCATAAGACAAGGGTTTGTGAGAAGAGTAGCAAATACTTAAGAAATCCTTGGATACTGGAATTCAGTCAATGTATGCCAAATAAACTGGATGAGTGAAAGATTGTATTTGAAGTTCTGTGCTTGTCCATCTTTGCTGTTTTTTCATATGCTTAGAAAATGACAAAAGTTGTTTTAACAAGTGACCCAGTAAAGACATGAAAATGTAAAATAATTCTTGTAAGAAAAGAAAAATTGTAAATGTTTTCTTATACAATGTATTCTAGATGACAAAGAATGTGTTTGACTAAGTTTTTGAAAATGACAAAATAAATTCTCTTTTGTGTAATTAAAAAATGATAATGGTTGCAATACATGTTTACCTTAATATGATTTTAATAGTATTTGTCACTAAGATTGAAATACTTGAGAACATATTTTACAAATTTTGTTCCAGTTTACTTAAGTCAGAGATATATTTTTTGAATGACAACCAAGATTTGAAAAAAAAGAAAAAACAAAGAAATTAAAACAAAACTATTCACTTTTGTGATATCTTTGTTGATTTTGTTGTTTACAATTTTATGTGTCAGTTATAGGACAATATGTCCATAATAATTGCAGCTTTTCAAATTTGATATATAAATACAATTTAAGGCAGATTTCTGAACTGATATATGACCTTGACCCCCAAAGAACAGAAATTTCAGGGTCAATACTTAAAACAATTATTTGTTGGATGTTTTATACATTATTTTTGACCTTATATCTTACAGACGATACCACGGAAACTGTCTAGAATAAGTTAGAAACCTATAAAGCCAAAAAATTGAATATTGTTGTTGCTTAGCAACCATTTAAAGGTCATTAAACACAAATTTGAACAAAATATTAGTGGATATTGCAATACAGTATGATGCCTTCTAAAGAGTAAATTCAGAATTTTCTTCTTACATTCATTGTTACAAATTTTCGCAAGAAAGATGAAAAGGTTTGGGAAAAAAATCGAAAATTATGCACTTATTTGACCTTTGACCTCCAAAAAAATGAATCTGATAAGGTCAAACTTTCAAACAATTATCTGATGTATATTATTTCAGTATCATTACCCTACATTTGACTTTACAATGTAATGGAATGCATAAATGTGTGTGGGATGAGCAAAAAACAAGGAATACTGCCTGAAAATTGAAAATACTCCGTTGCTTAGCAACCTCTTTAAAGTCATTATTTGCAGAATAGAAAAAAAGTTTATGTGATTAATGTAGTACAGGAAAATGCCCTTTTGTGGGTTTATTCTGAATTTCCTATTTCAATGTGTATCACTGTTAATTTTTAACTTGAAAATTAAAATGTGTCATAAAATGCAATAAAATTCTGCACTTATTTGACCTTTGACCTCAATTTCCACTAGCGAGGTCAGTCGTGAGGTACCTACATAGTTATGAAATATCATCTCCAGAAAATTCCCTACAAAATGGTATACATTATACCTAGATTACTCTTTGAATAAAAAAGTTATAAATTGATTTACAAGGATATGTCAAATGGTTTGCAAAAACGCTGAAAATGTGCCGGTAGAGAAAGGGTTAACGTCCCTCTCGAAAATTTTTCACTCATATGGAGACGTCACCGTATGCCGCTGAAGGGCTTCAAATTTTGACCTTTACTCGGCACTCAGGGCCATTGAGCAGTGGGGGATCTTTATCGTGCCAACGCCTGCCGCTGACACGGGGCCTCGGTTTTTAAGGTCTGATCCGAAGGACCCGCAACTTTCACTTCAAAGTGCCGAGCGCATGGCGAAGGAACAGTTGCTACCAATTTTAACGACTAGGTCATTCGCGGCCGAGATACGAACTCACGACCTCCTGATCACGGAGCGAGCAGTCTACCAACTGAGCTCCCGTGAACGGTCTAAAAAAGTGAATGTAGTAAAGTAAATGAGAGAACCATGGCTCCTTAGAGATTTTTATCCTTTATACATGGAATACACTACTATAAGCCTTTCGTTAATCATATTCTCATAATGGGGGTAAGGAACCTCCCCCCCCCCCAAAAAAAAAAAAATTATCAACATCAAATCATTGGTCTTTTTATGTCTTGAAAAAAAAGTTTTGCCCTTTCCGTCTAATTGTTTGAATGTCCGCAAAACATTGAACATGCCATAAGTTTTGATCGTTAGGAACTACGACTTTCAAATGTCACATTTGTTCTCATAATGACAAGGGCTTCCTTTGGTTACCAAAATACTTGATCTTGGAATTTGACCCACACTTAAAAAGAGTTCAAATTTTATCATAACTTTCGAATGATTGATGTTTTGGCTTCCATACTGTACAGGTGCATGAATATGATTATTGAGACAAGCCCTTTTGGGGGGGGGGGGGGGTAACAACATTTATTTCTGGTGACTTGTGGGTTGAAACTTTAAGCTGCAACGTGGGGGGGGGGGGGGTCAGTGTTTCCCAAATACGTCTTGCTCTATAATGAAAAGAAACTTGAAAATAAGAAATTTCAAATTTACATTCATGCATGACAGGACCTTATTTCAGCATTAACGTATAGGTTTAACTTCAGTGACCTTAAACATATTCCAATTTTAAGTTTAATAAAGTATATTAACAGAAATGGCAATTAAGTCTACCTGAAGACTTTTACTCTTCAAAATGTTGAGAGTTTGGGAGTAGAAGGATATGGAAATAACGAACATATTCAATCTCAAAGTCCATTAAACAAATATACAAAATAAGAGTAGAGCAAACACGGACCTCAGAAACATCAGAGGTGGGATCAGGTGCCATGGAGGAGTGAGCATCCCCTGCCGACCGGTCACACCGGCTAAACCCTTGGCCATTTCATCGGTTGGCTCCCTCCCCCCTTCTCATTTAAATCTATGAATTGCCACTGATCTTTCCATTTTTTGTTTTACAAATTCCTTGGAAATAAATTCAAATACAAGACCACAAATACAACAAATATAATTTTTTTTGCTTTGATGGATGCAACTTAGAACCATTATTTAAATGATGCACTGCTATATGCCAGAAACTTCAAATATATTAAAATTTCATAAGATCTGTTATCCCTGACTTAAAGTTCAAATCTGACATATTCTTCAATATACTGATAAAAACGTATTTTACAGTTCATGCACCTCCTTAGCATTTATCATAACTACATTTAACATAAGATATAACACTTTACATAAAAAACGCTACAAATAAAAAAAATCTTCATGCTTATGCTTGACAATATTTAGAATGATTTTCACAATTACAAGTGTTAAAAAGACTGATGCATCATTTACATCCTTTTGATTAGCATTGCAGTCAAGTAGCAGAAATGTTCCCAATACACAACCTTAGTTTTTTTTTCCTATGAGCATGCAGTCCATATGCAAAGAAGTTTAAATAAATGAGTAACAATGCACAAAAAAAAATCAAAAAAGTAAAATTCAAACATGCCTTATTTGGATTTAAGTGTTTCAACCATACAAAGAAATACTTGTGTCAAACTTGAAATGTATAAACTTCCAGAGATTATTGCAAGACTTCTTTATTCAAATCTTTTTCTGAAGTGGGATCTCTACTGTTGGTGGGGCGACTTTGGGAAAGATGTCATTAATATGACTAAGTTTTCTCCACCTTCCGCTCAAAGACTGTCCATCTCCCTTAATTCTTTGAGTAGGTTCTGAAATACCTGAATTAGAAAGCATCTAAAAGTTATTCCTGAGCTAATAATCAAATTAGGGCAGAAATATTCAAATGGGAAATAAATGTTTACCTAGATGCACCATCTTTATGGGTTGCTGTGGGCAAATCAACTGTATAATTGTTGTCCAACGCTGCCAAAATATTCCTGACTCTGTACACTGGGGGGAAGTAAGAAATTCTCTCCGAAGAGAACATGAGAATGTGATTGTTGATGATCTCCAAATTTGAATTTGCTGTACACGTGTAAAAGAAGATTATGGATCATAAATTTGACCGTTGGCAGTGTATGCAGCTTCTAAAACTTGTTTAAATTTCATAAATTTATACCTAAAATTAAGGTAATAGTGGTTGTTGTAGAGGAATCGTTTGTCTAGGACAATCTTGGTCAGCAGTCAATGCAGAGTGTGCAGGACTTCGTTTCTCAATCCAAGACGTGTCTCTGTCATCATTCAGTTCCTCACGGTTAGCAACGCCTCCCATAGGATAATCCCATTCATCTTCAACATCTAGTAAAATTAAATATCCATGTATTAAATCAGCAAAAGCATAATGTTTTTCCTCTGGATGACAACTCTTTTTAGTGTACCTGATTTATATGTAAAAAAGAATATAAAAGTAAACGTTATGCGATCTGAAATAAAGCTTTCAATTTGCATTTCTGCACAAATGATCCCCAACTGACAATTTCTTGATTAAATGTTGACAAAGTCGTTCCTTTAAAATTTATGTCGAATATGTTTTGTTTTAAAATAATTGTATACTAAAACTTCAGAGTTAAATCGAATGAATGACCAAACCTATTTCGAACAAACATAGCTTGTTTCCTTTCATTATCGAGGATTATTCCTTGCACGTCCACCATGTTGCTGGTGATAAACTTGGATTTTTTTGTAAATTTATTGTATCGTTGGCAACTATGTACATAACTGTTGTTGTAACACTGCTTTTTTGACATAAAGTCACTCTCCACATGCCATTTTCGTTCAATTACCTGTTTAATTTACTGAAAGGAAAAAGAAACGCAGGGTAGCATAATTGTCGATAAAAATTTGACCACGTGACCGAAAATTACGAAAATTGGTCAGATGGGAAATTTAGTTACTGTGCATCAAAATCAGTATTCAGAATTACTCAATCGTAGAATTTATGACGTCACGTAGGGAAAACGCTAAAGAGCCCAAAACACGTGCAATTTGATAACGACGTGTTTGTTCACAAATCTTGTTGCATTATTTGATGCAGATGAGGTATCCACTTCCTTTTTCAATATCAAGAGACATTATGAATTTATTGCATTCTGGCACAGTTTACGGAAGTTCGATAGGGTCTTGTTTTCGAATTGCCTAATTAATGAAAAAGGC